CCCCAAAACCCCAAAACCCCAAAACCCCTTATACTTACCAAAGTATTGAAATGGCTCCTTTGGAGTAAAACCTCATCCTCAAAATACTTTTAGTAAAGAAGCCAAGACTATCGAGTAGGGTCAGCTACTCTAGAAAGAAACTTGGGTGAATATCAGGGTGGTCGAATCATGATAAATCCATACATTTTGCCTGAAGAAAGTTATCATAACTAAAGTTAAAACAAAAATAGAATAAAATTAATGATTTCCAAACATGTCTATTTTTATTCTTTAATGATAATATCTTTGATATCACTATTAATCTTGTTAACTTCATAATCCTGATATCTTTCCGTCTCCTTTTCAACAGGAGTTCTGCGCACATAGAGAGCTTTGCTCTTAATCTTTGATTTCTTATTAAATTTTATCTTATCTTTCGTAAATTTCCTATTATTGAATGTCTGAGCTTACATTGAAAACAAGGTTGGCTGAAGAGATAATTCAAACTCCTTCGACTCAATATCTTCAGAATCTGAGACACTATTAAAATCACTAGCTTTGTCGTCCGAAATCTTCTGTCTCCTTTTCATGAAGAACTTTTTATTAGGTAGGGATCTATATGCTTAAGACTGGGATGCTACTTTTCCCTTAGCGGGTTTTGGTTCAAACTGTCTTTGGAAATATACACCTTATTGATCTTCCGATTATCGCCTGTATGTTAGCCATAGTGAATACAGATAAACTGTTTTTGCTTTTCAAGGTCGACTTCGTAAAACCTCTCTATCACCCAATCCAGTAGTAATAGCTTCTGTTTATCAGAAAGATCCTTGAATTGGGAATTGATAGACTCAAGCTTGAAATTTGTCTTAAAGAATTCCTGGTGGTGAATTTTTGAAACGATTCGGCCAAAAGCGCCGTCTTTGAATGGATTTTTGCCTATATTTTGTTACAGAAGATGCTCTTACCTTCAAGGACCTCGATCATTCCTGAAAGCCGAGTTATTTCTCGTTTGAATTTTCTCATACTATTAGCTCGAAATAGCTCGGATTTTTTAATATTTGGCTTTAGAGTAAATGCCATCTCAATTTTCTGTAGTCTCTCTCTTTGCTTTTTACTTTAAGTCTTTGATCTTATTCTAAAAATAAGTAGAAGGGTCTTACATGTAGGAAATTGACTGAGTCGTTGTGGAATACCTACAAATTACTTCTTTGCTTACCTTCTCAAAGAACAACTTCATCACATTCGGATTTAGAAGGTCATTGTTAGCCTCAATCTTGAGGTCAGGAAGGAAGCTATTTGCCTTTCTGGGTAATCATGTCTAACCGACAGAACCCAGGGACATTTTCAAGAGGGTGCTCTACTGACTGACTCCTGATCCGTTCAATATAGGGATTCTTTTTCGGAGGTGTAGAAATTTTTCAAGACCTCCTTCTATTTATTAATGTTCTTTAGCATTGCTTGTACCGATTTCATCAATACTATTTCATAATAAATGAGTATTTATCGAATAGATAAATAGAAAAAGCGATTTAAAGATGAAAAGAATAATAATTTGTTTGGTCTTAAAATATATTTAAGAATTTTTCAAACAGGTTGGTCAAAATGAAAGTTGTTTTTAGTTTAGAAGGATTCATCATTTATTCAGTCATGAACCTGCCAAAGTAATATTAAGAAATAGTTTAAATTACTTACAAATATCAGGTACCACCGTCGACTTCCTTCTCTGAGGCACATACCCCTCACCTACACCTCAACCACCCACTCCTACCTTTATTCACTCTAAACCATTCATGTCCAATAGTCTACACCTCATCACCACTCTGCCACTTACTTTTCCACTAAAACCTGTACGTCAGTTCATTTTGATAGGATTGCTGGGAGAATATGGAGTATTTTTAATTTTTCAATTTTTGAAGGGGTTTTGGGGTTTTGGGGTTTTGGGGTTTTGGGGTTTTGGGG